AGGGGTGTGTGATGGGATCACGGCTGTATTCCCCTGTCCCCTCCCTCGCGCCGCAGCAGGCCGATGGCTCTCGCTTTCTGTCCCTCGCGTGCAGCCAGGGCAGCAGATCCGTGAAGCGAGGGGTCGTCGCTTTCTGCTGGAGAGCAGGTGGCAGAGGCAGCCCAGCTCCCCCTCTGCAGAGCTGCTGGTTCATCCCGAGCTTTTGTAGCCTGCGATGGAAACCGAGGTGCAAAGAGTTGGAAGCCACGTGTTGCCGGCAACTTTACCCGGGCGTGCGTGAATTTTCAGTGGCCGTGCGCGAATTTTCACTGGCCAGCAGATGGGGAGCTGGATGGTGGCTCTCCGCAGCTGAGGGCCGCATCTCTACCTCTAGCCCTGCCCTGGCGTGCTGGTGTCACTGGTCCTGGCCCTGTTCGTGGGCACCGACTTTCCCTTTGCCACGGGAGTACAGGCTGACTCTCGGCAGGGGAAATGCAAAAGTCCCAAATCCTTTTCAGAGCCTCAGCTCTCCTCCAGCAGAGCCTGGCGAGGTAGCTGTGTGTGAGATTTACTACTAGCCAGAGAAGAGGAGTTATAATTGGCCACGAGATGGGGTTACCAAAATGTAATAGAGATAATACACCAAAGGAAAAATTTTTAGCCTGGTTTAAACCCTTTTTTTTTTTGTCGTGGCAGACCCAAAGTAGCTATTCCTTGGTGGTGGAAGCAAAAGACCGTGGTGGTGAATTGGGTGGGAACGCTGCAACATGTTCTTTAGAAATCAAGATTTTGGATGTCAATGACAATGTGCCTGTGGTTGAAAGTCACTCAGTAAGTACAGTCATCACCTGCCAGTATCCCATTGCTCACTCTGAGGCTGTGCAAACCTTCCTGCGCCGGTGAAATGAGGTAGATCATGACATCTTTCTAACGAAGGGTGCTTTTGATTGCAGTTCGAAGGAAGCATTGAAGAAAACAGAGCAAATGTGGAAATTCTGCGAATAAAAGTATTTGACAAAGATGAGGAGTTTTCTGATAACTGCCTGGCAAACTTTTCGTTTGTTTCTGGTAATGAGGGCGGCTTTTTTCGTATAGTGACAGATAACCGAACAAATGAAGGAATTTTGACCGTTGTGAAGGTTAGTATGTTCTTTAGAGAGTCTTATACTTAAGTATTAGAATAATTTATTCCCTCTAAGTTGACGTACAAATTATTTATATTCAATCAGTATGTAAACTGCAAATCTGCAGGGTGGACACTCCTCCTTTGGTGTTTTCTTTGTTGGTGAATTCAGTAATTTCATGCAAAATAATAATTTTGTCCAGCTTTACCATTTGCATTCTGTGTGATCTCAAACATGTCTAGTGGGGCAGAAGTCCCCAAACTTCCCCCGTCATTGGGCAACAGTACTAACACATGTGCTGTAAACTTTCCCGTATTTTTGCTCTCCTTGCTGGTCTCAATTTAGATTTATTTCTCATGGCCACAGATAACGTTGCAGGCAACACCTACTCCGTGAGCCATGGGCTGCAGACTATTTTATGAATTTCCATAAATTGAAATTATGGAAATAGTTTCCATAAATGGAAATTTGTATTTTCTGATTTTCACTCCCCTTTAGCCCACAAGAACTGAAGATGCATACTGCTCTAAGTATGGTTTTTATTTTTTTTCTGCTTTGATTTCCTTATCTGAAAACTGGTAACTGTAAAAAAAAATTGATAAGCATTATTAGGTAAATTAATCAGGTTTAAAAATAAAAATAAAATTGGGAGAGCCAAGTAGTATTGAGTTCTGATTCACTGAAAGTAAAGACAGAATATATGGATGTGACTCGTTGCACCTTCCTTAAATTAGTTTAAATTCAGTAATATAAAGACATGCCTATGGTGCCATCCATTAAAAATCAGTAATCTGACTTACGTACTTTTAAAGAGTTAAAGCATTATGTATTGAGAGAAAAGTGTTAACCAACAGTTCTTATTTAAATAGTATTATTTAAATATTAAATGTATGAATATTGTCTACATATCAGATTCTGTCAAGTTCTGAGTGAATTTTTTTTTATTATTATTCCTCTAGGAACTGGATTATGAAAAAATGAAAAGCCTGAACTTGGGCATTGTTGTAACAAACAAAGCAGAGTTCCACAAGTCCGTTAAATACAGTTCTAAAGCACAGACAATTCCAATCAAAATTAACGTGATTAACGTGCGGGAAGGCCCTCTATTCCCCGGGGGCACCAAAGTTATCGAAGCGAGTGAGAAGCTGCAGATAAACCAGGTTGTTGGACAGTATCAAGCCTATGATGAAGACACTGGAAAAACAGCAGAGCGCATCATGTAAGAGTCTGTTTATAGCCATCGTAGCTGAGCATGTCAGCAAGCACGTCTTGCTGTAAAAATGCGTATGTTGAACCGAAATCATTTCGGAGGCCATAGTTTTGCGTAATTGACACCTAAACCGACACAATCATCACCATCTTCACTATTCTGTTACGCAGAAAATAGCTGAGGTGAAAACCCCGCTTGTTTGGCTGTGTCTGGGGAGCCGTGAAGTGTTTGTGCTGAAGCTGGCCGTGCTTGTGTGCTGCTTTGGAGAGCAGCTTTGCTCGTCCCCCTTCCCCGCCTGCCGAGGCGTTCGGAAGCGATATGCAGGAAGGTCCAGCGGTCGGGCCCAGGGTGTAGAGCGTGTTTGGCTTTTGGATCGCAGCTCTTCAGCTGAAACGTGGGTTTAATCCCTACCGTGGCTTTTGCAAGCGGCGCAGAGCAGCAGAGACCCAGTGGTGGAGCCCTCTCGCCCGGGTGGCTGCTGCTCGGCTGTTGCTGGGAGCAGGAACAGGAACAGAGGGGAAAGAGCAGCGTGGCTCACCCTCCTGCTCCGGTCTCGCTCCCTGGGTCTACTTTTTATAATACCTCCACACCTAAATTCTGGCTCTAGAGGGAGAAGCAGGTTTCAACATTCAGGGTAGGTTTGTAATCTTAAGGTTTATGGTTGAAACCAATTCCCGTGGCAGGAGCGTCAGACCGAGGGACTGGGTCTCTGCTTAAACAAAGGGTAAACACACTGTGAAGCTGCTTTTTCCGCTGATGGTTGTTGTCCTCGTTGTAAATGTGTCCATCTTGATATGCAATTTCAATCAGATACATGAAAGGAAGAGATACAGCAAACTGGATCACAATAGACCCGGTCACAGGTGAAATCAGACTTGCCAAAACGCTCGATTACGAATCGCCTCATGTAGTAAATGGTACCTACACGATCACCATGCTGGGGGTAACTACTGGTAAGTTGAGAGGGGTTTGTTTTCACACGAGTTGGTTTGGTTAGGGTTTAGTTTGCTTTTCTACAACCATAGTTGGTTTAACCTCCCTGTTTAACCTGTCTACCTAACCACCCAAAAGCTCGGTGCCTAGTGCAGTTTCCCATAAGCTCTGCATTTGGAGGAGAGACACGGGCAACTCCCTGAAACAGGGTGAACCTTGGAATGGGTTCCTGAGGTGCCCGTTTCTCTTCTGTGACTAGATGGAGGCGAACTTTGTGTAAGTTTTGCAAAGACCACGTCTGATAGAAACATCCCTTGCCAACGTGGAAGTTGCCGGTGTCTCAGTATGCTAATTGACAGGCTTCAGAGTCCTAAGTGTTCTTGAATGCAAAGCAAGAAAGACTCCCTGAACTTCTTGCCAATCTAATTAAATTCTTTCATAATCTGCATGTAACCCTATGTAGGAAATACATTGTTTTTTTAAAAGTCAAAATAGTAAAACAAACTTGCCTTCAGAAGATCTTTGTCAATATGTTTATTAACATTAGGAATTAAGTATTGGTCCCATAAGCTCCAGGGAGATCTCTTTTAACTTATTTCAGAAACGTCCGTGTTTTGGAAAATAAGAAGGTTTTTTTAAGGTGAAATTTTTGCACTTTCCACATCAGTCTAACTTTTTGTATTTTAAAATCTTAGATTTTCCAAAAAAAACAGTCACCGGCACAGTTGTTATTCAAGTGAAAGATGAAAATGATAACTGCCCAGTTATTGTGAACGCGGTGCAGACCGTGTGTTCAGATGCAAAATCAGTCGATGTCACAGCTAACGATTTGGATGGTCACCCAAACAGCGATCCCTTCAGCTTTACTGTCATTGATGAGCCACAAGGGACAGCAAAACAATGGATGATTGCATCCAGCAATGGTAAGAAAATATATTTTTAACTACTTTCGATTCTGTGGAGTCCTAGTGTTGTAATTTGATTTCAGTCAAACTGACAGTTTTGGCTGATCCAGACCAAAAAACCCCATCTGTATGGAGTTGGGCGTGGAGTTAAAGATGAGTTAAACAGGAGGAGTTAAAGATGCTGAGCTTGTACAGGGGTATTCAGGGCTTGGGTCTGGCGTGTGGGATTGGAGTTGGGCATGAAGACACATTGCTCACACTCTGCTCCCCTCTCTCTAATGGCTGCGAAAGCCCCGTCACGTCTTCTGGGGCCTGTGGCCTTCCCTCAGTTGGACCACCTTTGCCTAGGTTGAGGACCCCCATGTGGTGACCAGGGTTTTGTGGGTAATGCTGGGATGAAGCCATTCCCGTCCTTCCACAAAAAACATGCAGGGTTTTTTGTTACCACTGAGCTTGGAGATGTGGTTGTGTTAATGGCTGCAGTTGCTCTGACTTACAGATAAATTAAAAAAAAAATCTGGCTGCACAGTGGGCCTTGGAAAGGGGAAATAACCTGTCTAAGGCTGTCCGGCGTGGTAGGAACAAAAATAAGTCAGAAATCGTAAATAATGAGTATTTCAGAATGGCACGAGGACTTTCTTCTTACATTTTCATTCATAAAGCTTGAGAAATGCTCGAAGGAAATGCTGCAGGTAGGTTGAAGGCACCAGAAAACACTTTTTTTGCTTCTCAGGCTCATTATTCTGCCCTCCGTAATCCTGCAGCATAACACTGCGAAGCCATCAGCAGAGTCATCCTAATGGCCAGGTTTGGGACCAAAAAGGTCCCAAACAGGGTGGCGTTCCGCAGCGGGGCACACCACCTGGGCATCCCTTGCCACAGGAGCAGGGCGGATCTTGGCTGCCCGGTCTCTGCCTGTGGTCTACGACACATGAGTCTCCTAAAGGCTGAAACTGGGGTTTTTTTGTGAATTCAGCCTTCAGCGACCCAGATGACGTGAAGGTTGATGCTGTGCAGGCAGTTGGGCTGCCTTCGTGATGTCTCTGGTGGTGTGAAACTCTTTGCAATTATCTGAGGCTGCAACTGGCAGCTGCTTCGTTACCAGCATGAATTAATTGATAAAAATAATAGCACATACCCTGTAGCAGCAGCTAATTAAACTTAATTCCATTGCATTGGCTGGACTTACCGGGAGGGGGCTTGTTGGAAGGCTGTGAAGGTTTTATTTCCCTTAATCAACTTTCTCTCTGCTCATTTCTTGTCTTTTCTTTTTCTTTAACCCCCTGCTTTGCCTCAGGCACCAGCATACAGCTGGTACCACAAAACCTGAAGCTGGGAAGAACTGAAGTTCCCATCCTCATAAAGGATTTCCAAGGGTCCAGCTGTGCTCAGGCACAATCTCTGCAGCTGACTGTTTGCAACTGTGCAGATGACGGCGCGTGCAAAGAGAAAGTGGTTGGTGCCAAGTCGGTGGGTTTGGGACCAGGAGCGGTTGCGCTGATCATCTTGGCGTTTTTACTCTTGCTGCGTAAGTAGCTGTTTCGTGTTCTCTCAGAAGCACTGTAGATAAATACAGTCTGCAAATACAGTCTGCAAGGCATCAGGAAAGAAGCGTCAGGCTGCCAGGTTTTATCATCTTGATAACGTTCTGTGTAAGCTCCTGCCCCGTGTGAAGTCATGGCAAATCCCTGACTGGTTTTGGTAGCATCAGCACTTCACCCTCAAAGGATTTCAAGCGGTGCATTTTAAATTTAATATTTAAATTTACTAGCTTTAGTGTCTAGCGCTGTAAACAGCAGGTGAGGAAGCAGGAAGGAATCCTTTCGCTGTGCCTGCACCTCCCCAGGGGAACCCTAACTCTTCCCACTCCAACCGCAGCGCGCTCTCCGCTCTCTTCTCCCTCACTGCAGGCCCAGGTCTGGTGCCTTGCTCGGAGCAGCATGTGACCTTGGTCTTTGGTGAGACGAAATAGAAGCTTGAAAATAGGAGAAGAACATTTGTAGCCAGGATACGGCCGTGGGTACTAGTGCTGCATTTAAAGTGCAGTAGTTTGTTGCCTGTGCTGGTGGCACTCTAGCTGTGGGAACGCTCATGCCGCACGGATACTTTCTGCTCCTGAAACGGGATTGTTCCGAGTTCCCCAGGCCACGCTCTAGACTTGTCAGAGCAGCGGTGAGGTGGAATGTACCTGACGCCGTGTCCTTACCTGGTAGCACTAGAACAGGAGGAGTTAAAGATGCTGAGCTTGTACAGGGGTATTCAGGGCTTGGGTCTGGCGTGCGGGATCTTTGATACAAGTGTAGCTGCGTGTGCGTGTGGTCGTCTGCAGGGCTGAGGCCCTGACGGGTTAATTGTCGGTTTTCTCTCCAGGAAACCAGCCTGACACAGGCTTCTGGGGGATACCTTGAGTATTTGGGAACCTACCTTCAGTCCTTGTCAGCCCTTGTACTGATCAGTGCTGGTCACTGGCTCGTTAAAGATGCATTTCGGTATGGGAGCTGGCCAGACTTCGCTGCTGGCTGTCAGCATGCTTTGGCCCTAATAATCACGTAGTTAATGGCAAACTCTTTCCTTCCCTTTTCCTCTTCCTTCCCTTTTCCTTCCCTTTTCCTTCCCTTTTCCTTCCCTTTTCCTTCCCTCTTCCTTCCCTCTTCCTTC